GTGCTACAGGATTTTTTTAAAACTGCGCACACTGACCACATAGACCCATTCTTTCATATGTAGGCCTACCAGCTTTCTCTCACTAGATTTGAGGGCACTAGAATTTAGGCGTACTAGTACGTCAAAAACCCTGGTGCGTAAGCCATACTAGTACGTCTGAAACCCTGAAAGGGTTAACCACAGGCATCATGACACTTGTAAAAACAGTCAAATGGGTGACTATTGACAGCACCTTGAACAGTTGAAGTATAACTGTTTTACATGAGCTGCGTGTAGCAAGTGTCTATTTTGTTTCCTGAAGCAGATTTTTTTTTTCTTTTTCCTTTTTATTTTGTAACCCAACCTTCCTTAGATATGTGCTCCAAACCTTATGGGAAAAAGTGACATAATTACTAAGAGGATAGACTGAAAATGTATTGTGTATAGTATAAAAATTTATTGAAATGTTAAAAATTTCAACATAACCAGGAATGTTAGGTTTTATCATTAATAGCAACACAGCCAGGATTTCAATCATGGGGTAGGTGTTTCAGAATCATAAGATAATGAAAAAATCAGACATCATCTTTGTGAAATTTCTTACACTATTGCGGTTTTGTGGTCACTGGACAATGTAATATATTGAAAATTAAATATTAATTGAAAAAATTAAAGTACAGCTTGGCCATCACTTATCCAGCAATCAGTAATCCTGTTTCATCAGAAATCTGGCACTAATTTCGGCTAGCATAACTTCAAATTTCCGGGGTCGCCACAGCATCTTGCCACTACTGTTTGGTGGTGCTACTTCCTGCATAAGTCATTCCAATTTCTTTTTCTCCATTTACTGTTGTAACCTGCTCACTTTTAGCCCTAGCCATGGTTCCAGCGAATAAAAGAAATGCTTCTCATTGTGTAAAGCACATACACTGTACACTGTCCATAAAAGATAAGGTGGCAATCCTACGATCATGTAAACCAATTATAGGCTTCTGTTTTATACTCACTTGGCAGGACGGTAGTACTTCCCTGGGCGGTTGCTACTACCTATATATATATATATATAGTGTGTGTGTGTGTGTGTGTCGGTTTCCCTGAATCCCTTCATAAATGTTACCTTGCTCACATTCCAACAGCATGTCAAATCCTAAAAACCACTGGTCTCCATTCACCCCTATTAACATACTCACACATGTCTGCTGGAAGTCCAAGCCTCTCGCACACTAAACCTCCTTTGCACCTTCCCTCCTACCTTTCCTAGGCTGGCCCCTACCCCGCCTTCCCTCCAGTACAGATTTATACACTCTCGAAGTCATTCTATTTTGTTTCAACCTCTCTACGTGTCTGAACCACCTCAACAACCCCTCCTCAGCCCTCTGAATAATAGTTTTGGTAATTCTGCACCTCCTCCTAATTTCCAAACTATGAATTCTCTGCATTATATTCACACCACACATTGCCCTCAGACATGACATCTTCACTGCCTCCAGCCTTCTCCTTGTTGCAACATTCACCACCCATGTTTCACAGCCATATAAGAGAGTTGGTATAACTATACTCTCATACATTCCCCTCTTTGCTTCAATGGACAAAGTTCTTTGTCTCCACAGACTCCTAAGTGTGCCACTCATCTTTTTCCCCTTGTCAGTTCTATGATTCACCTCATCTTTCATAGACCCATCTGCTGATACGTCCACTCCTAAATATCTGAATACATTCACCTCCTCCATACTCTCTCCCTCCAATCTGGTATCCAATCTTTTGTTACCTAATTTTTTTGTTATCCTCATCACCTTACTCTTTCCTATATTCGCTTTTAATTTTCTTCTTTTACGTACCCTAACAAACTCATCCACCAACCTCTGCAACTTCTCTTCAGAATCTTCCAAAAGCACAGTGTCATCAGCAAAGAGCAACTGTGACAACTCCCACTTTGTGTTAGATTCTTTATCTTTTAACCCCACATCTCATGCCAGCACCCAAGCATCCACTTCTCTTGCAACTCCATCTATAAATATACTGAACAACCATGGTGACATCACACATCCTTGTCTAAGGCCTACTTTTACTGGAAAATAATCTCCCTCTCTCCTACATACTCTAACCTGAGCCTCACTATCCTCGTTAAAACTCTTCACTGCTTTCAGTAACCTACCTCTTATTCCATACATTTGCAACATCTACCACATTGATCCCCCTATCCACCCTGTCATATGCCTTTTCCAAATCCATAAATGTCACAAAAATCTCTTTAACCCTATCTAAATACTGTTCACCTCTATGTTTTGCTGTCAACACTTGGTCTACACACCCCCTACCTTTCCTAAAGCCTCCTTGTTCATCTGCTATCCTGCTCTCTGTCTTACTCTTAATTCTTTCATTAATAACTCTACTTACACTTTACCAGGTATACTCAGCAGACTTATTTCCCTATAATTTTTGCACTCTCTTTTGTCCCCTTTGTCTTTATACAAAGGAACTATGCACGCTCTCTGCCAGTCCCTAGGTAACTTACCCTCTTCCATACATTTATTAAATAAAAGCACCAACCACTCCAAAACTATATCCCCACCTGTTTTTATCATATCTATCTAACCCATCAATCCCTGCTGCTTTACCCCTTTTCATTCTACCCACTGCCTCAAGAACTTCCCCCACACTCACAACTGGCTTTTCCTCAATCCTACAAACTGTTATTCCTCCTTGCCTTCTGTATGAAATCACAGCTTCCTTATCTTCATCAACACTTAACAATTTCTCAAAATATTCCCTCCATCTTCCTGATACCTCTGACTCTCCTCTCCTATTTTTATCTATCAAATCCATTCGTTTCCTAGGCTTCCTCAACTTATTAATCTCCAAAAACTTTTTTGTATCTTCAACAAAATTTGTTGATAACATCTCACCCACTCTCTCATTTGCTCTCTTTTTACACTGCTTCACCACTCTCTTAACCTCTCTTTTTCTCCCCATATACTACTCCTTCCTTGCATCACTTTGTAAAAACCTCTCATATGCTAACTTTTTCTCCTTTACTACTCTCTTTACATCATCATTCCACCAATCGCTCTTCTTCCCTCCTGCACCCACTTTCCTGTAACCACAAACTTCTGCTGAACACACTTATGCTACATTCTTAAACCTGCCCCATACATCTTTGACCCCATTGCCTATACTCTCACTAGCCCATCTATCCTCCAATAGTTGTTTATATCTTACCCTAACTGCCTCCTCCTATGGTTTATAAAATCTTCATCTCTCTCTTACTTGCTGCTTCTATTTTCCTTGTATCCCATCTACCTTTTACTCTCACTGTAGCTACAACTAAAAAGTGATCTGATATATCTGGCCCCTCTATAAACATGTACATCCTGAAGTCTACTCAACAGTCTTTTATCTACCAATACATAGTCCAACAAACTACTGTCATTATGCCCTACATCATATCTTGTACATTTATTTATCCTCTTTTTCTTAAAATATGTATTACCTATAACCAAACCCCTTTCTATACAAAGTTCAATCAAAGGGCTCCCATTATCATTTACACCTGGCATCCCAAACGTGCCTACCACACCCTTTCTAAATGTTTCTCCTACTTTAGCATTTAAGTCCCCTGCCACAGTTACTCCCTCACTTGGTTAAAAAGTTCCTACACACTCACTTAACATCTCCCAAGATCTCTTTCTCTCTCTCTCTCTCTCTCTCTCTCTCTCTCTCTCTCCTCTACACTCCTCTCTTCTCCAGGTGCATACACACTTATTATGACCCACTTTTTGCATCCAACCCTTATTTTAATCCACATAATCCTTGAATTTATACATTTATATTTCCTCTTCTCTTTCCATAACTGATCCTTCAACATTATTGCTACCCCTTCCTCAGCTCTAACTCTCAGATACTTCTGACTTAATCCCATTTATTTCTCCCGACTGAAACTCTCCTCTGTCTCTATATCTATCTCTGTCTCTTTCTCGGTCTATCTCTGTCTCTATCTCACAGGTACACACAGTTGTAAATAATAAAAATTATGTAGGATAACCAAAAAAATCCAGACAAAGTGTTATACTGTGCTTGTAAATATAATGCATAATACACATGACTGGCAAGTAATATGCATTTTCACTTGTTCAGGAATCAGACGTGACTACTCTGCATCTCTGCATCGTGTGTAATACCTGTTGGTTCACGCATTGCTCTCTCTGAGACAGAAAGAGAGACAAGCAGACTGAGACAGAAAGATAAGCAGACTGAGACAGAAAGATAAGCAGACCGAGACAGACAGATAAGCAGAGACAGAGATAAACAGAGAGCTAGACAGACAGACAGACATGTTTATGTGTAACAGTGAAAACAAATAAAGCCAAGGCAGTGCATGATCATCAAATGTCACTCCACTGCTGCACTGTTAGCAGTGGAGTGACACTCGTCCTACACCTTGCTTCAAGGAGTTTCATATATACTCCTGCGTGTCCAAAACATTGCTGGAACCTATAAATACTATACTGTATATATTTCTAGACAATAGTATGTGACTAAGGTAGGTGAAAATGTTCACCTGTCACTGTGTTTGTGACTATTTGAGTACTATTTCAGTACCTAAAATTAGTGTCAGAACAAAGATTGGTTATCAAATCACAAGAACTACTACAAATTGTAATTATCAGAACATAAAAATTATACAAATTAAAAAAAATGAGAAAAAAAAAAGGTATATTGGCAACACTTCTGCAAGCGACAGGGCTTCATATTGCCATCAGATGAGCGACAAGTGCCAGCTTTGCGGCCTTATATCTCCATAAGTACTGACTCTAAATTATTACATGTAAAAAAATGTCATCTTTATTTAAAATACTCGGAGCACTGGGTGAGAGAACATAGATCTCTGTTTGGGCAGTTAAGGGATTAAAGTAAGTGATATTAAATTTTGGATGTACTTCTGCAGTTTCATTTACAAAAAATGCACTATATACAGAAGCTTTATAAAAGGGGTTACTGTAGTCATATTTAATTAAATGTACCTTTAAGAAGATGATAGCATCTGTACCGTAACCTTCACAGGATGTTAGCATCAGGTCTCCATGAAAGTAACGAGCATACAATCTGGAGAGTGGAAGACCATAACCATATCCAGCCAAAGGTGGGATATCTAGCCCAGAAACAGCTGGTTGAGGTGCTGTAGAGTACATGTAATTGAAGAGGAGGTCCATTTGGCTTCGGGGAATGCCACCACCTTGGTCACTCAACTGAAAGGAAAGTAGAGAAGTTGCAGAGTTATTTAATTTTATATGAAATGAAAATAGAAATATTTATTTCCTTGCAAAGCTTACAATGTGTGGTTTACATATTATAAAATATTAATTACAAAGACGGCCACTAACATGCCTAGGCATTTCGGGCAGATTATACTGGATCAGGTTATGGAGCAGTACATTTTAATATACATTATTGCGTATTGATATAAAGGATAGGTAACTGAAGTGATTAACATTAATTAGATTTATAATAGTGAGTTAGTATATAGTAACCTATATTCAGGATTTCATTGTATTCTTGCTCTTCTCAATTTTGAACTAATGAGGCCTATGACAAACTAATATACAGTATTTCAGTTGCATGTTTAAAGTATCTGGTAAGCTCAAATTACTTTTATCAAAAGCTCTTCTCCAGCATTAAGGTGCCTTGAACATATACCTACTAGTACTTTTATTTAAAAACTCATGAGTTGAAATACCTAATTATATTGAACTGATGGGGGCACAACTGCCTTAATTCTTTCATGACAACTTATAGGTGGAGAGGCCAGATGTGTTAACCTTGTATGTATTTCAGTATAAAATAGATTTTGTGTAAAACAACACACACATAATTAAAATAAGTATATTGTAAAGACAGTACTTTAAGAGTAAAATAAGGTGTAGTAATGGGAGAAAAACAAAACTTAATGTATTAAACTGTGCATGGTGAAGTTCTGCTGTTTGTGGGTATAAAAGCAAAAGAAAGCCTAGCTTCCACGTATAATCCTAATTTTTGAAGAGGTAGACCAGTAAGGCAGCGGAAGGCCTCGGTCAGATGATCAAAAGCTCCAGCAGTGGGTCAATCGTGTGGCTAAGACACTTGTCCTGTTTCCAGATGAATCTTGCTATTTTGTTGTTGTGCATTCAGGCTGGGAGGACTAACCCACTCTTCTGGGCAAAATGTGAAGTTGTTCTGGATGTAAGAATTATAAGTAACAAAAATGTTGATGTTGTAACAATAATACCAAAGTGGCTACAGTGTGTCAAAACACTGGGTAAGGCCTCAGGTTTCAGATGATGCCATGTGAAAGCTGGGCTACACTATTTAATAATAATAATAGAATATTTTTATTTCTACAAGTACATGTACAAGGCATACAGGCCTAGCTGATATCAATGACATATGTACTACTACGTACATAGAAAGTCACTTGTTATGCAGAGCATTTTGGGCAAATTAGGTCAGTTTTGTCTCAAGATGTGACCCACACCAGTCGATTAACATCCAGGAACTGAACTGAACCTGGACCCTCACCATGTGAAGTGAGAACTTTTGCCACCAGGTCACCGGCCACCTTGGCCTGGTGGCCACAGTCGCCCGTAAATACTTATCCATTGAATATATGATTATCTTTTGTAGAACAGTGTTTTAAACAACCTATTCTGAAAGGAAGGATAAGTTTTCAGAAAATGAGATGGACTAATCATGAATGTAAGTATATTCCCCTAGACTCTGTAATGCATTAATGAGCTACCCTACACCAGAGCATATAGTGAGAACTGTAACAGTGAAGTAAGAAAGGGAAAACAATGTAACACGTCAAAATTCCAATGACCCTCTGAACTGCAACATCACCATCCCTCCCTCCCCAGAATACAGGCACTGTACTTCATAGTTCCAGGACTCAGTGCAGCTAGCCAGTTTTCCTGAAACCCTTGTTAATATTCCAACAGTATGTCAAGCCGTATTAAACATACCTACTACAGAGACTTTATAGTTGGAAAAATTTAACATTTAAAAAATAGACATATCATTGACCATAATAACTAAAATAAGACTACAGCCTCTCCTCACTTAACGATGGAGCTACGTTCCTAAGACCACGTCGGTAAACGAATTCGTCGCTAAGTGAGGAGCATACTACAATGATAGTGAGTTTGTGTCAACCATCTTTGATATTGTTTTAATGTCACCTCTGCACCATTTATAACATTTCTGGTATATTTTTAAATGTTTATACAGTAGTGTACTGTATATTGTAATAAATAGAATAGAGGAAATGAGTTGTAATATATGTACATTATTCAGAGAGAGCCCATCGTAAGTCCGAGTCATCGGTAAACGAGTCGGTCGTTAAATGAGGAGAGGCTGTATTTTAAAATCTAATTACAGTACATATTATATATTTATACTTTAATCAGGAGTAATTCAACTGTTTTAGTAGCTATACATGTATTTACTTAATAAGCAAAAATATTTCACTTGATGTATTGATAAATTAACTGTAGAATTTGTTTACATCATAAATCTTCTGTCTGGCAAAGATATTTTTAGTTTAATGTGGCACATATTTAGTCAGAAAGGCCATGCAGTCTTAGCACATACAGTACAATCCTGTACGAACCTTAATAGTAATATCTTCACGTCCCATGACTAGAAGTACATCTAAAGGAGGGAACACATCAGCACCTGGACCGTGATGTTCCACAACAGCACGCATGCTGTTCTTGAAGAGTTCACACAGCATGTGATAAAGATGAGATGGCACATACACAACTGATGCTGGGGTTTTATCCGCTGCAAAGAGTACATACAACATTCATAGTACATATACTTAGTGAATTGTAAATAAATTCTTCAAATGCATCATTTATTTTCATGTAAACTGCACCTTATAAAAGTCACTCCTCTATTGTCTTGAAACATTCTCTGACTGCCATGCACATACAAAGTTATACATTCAAAATTACTAAAACTCTCAAAGGCATTCCAATTTTAGTACAGTTATACATAAACAAACAGTTTGTCATCACATGTAATTCCATGGAACCTTTAGTGATAAAAACATGGGAGGGTGCAAATATTTTTGTTGGATCATGGTGAGAAACTCTATCCCAGCCCATCCTTGCACAACCCACAATACTCCTGCCAGACTGAGAATTTCCTGGTGTTGTGCAGTAAATGTTTAATATACATTTTATACCTCGAGAGGGTTTCACGGGTCAATGTCCCTGCAGCCTGGTCTGTGACCAAGCTTCATAGTGGATCAACCTGATCAACCAGGCTGTTACTGTTGGCTGCACACAGTCCAACATACAAACCACAGCCTGGCTGGTCAGGTACTGACTTTAGGTGCCTGTCCAGTGCCTTCTTGAAGACAGCCAGGGGTCTATTGGTAATCCCCCTTACGTATGCTGGGAGGCAGTTGAACAGTCTTGGGCCCCTCACACTTATTGTGTTGTCTCTTATCGTGCTAGTGGCACCCCTGCTTTTCATTGAGGGGATGTTGCATCATCTGCCAAGTCTTTTGCTTTCATGGGGAGTGATTTTCGTGTGCAAGTTTGGTACTAATCCCTCTAGGATTTTCCAAGTGTATATAATCATGTGTCTCTCCCGCCTGCATTCTAGGGAGTACAGGTTGAGGAATGTTCCCAGTAATTGAGGTGTTTTATCACAGTTATGTGTGCTGTGAAGGTTCTCTGTACATTTTCTAGGTCAGCAATTTCACCTGCCTTGAAAGGTGCTGTTAGTGTGCAGCAATATTCCAGTCTAGATAGAACAAGCGACGTGAAGAGTGCCATCATGGGCTTGGCATCCCTAGTTTTGCAGGTTCTCATTATCCATCCTGTCATTGATAGTGTTATGGTCTTTGAAGGTGAGATTCTCTGACATTATCACTTCTAGGTGTTTTACATTGGTTTTTCATTCTATTGTATGGTTGGGATTTGTTTTATACTTCGATATAGTTTTAATTTCCTCATCTTTTCCATATCGGAGTAATTGAAATTTCTCATCATTGAATTTCAAATTGTTTTCTGCAGCCCAGTTAAAGATTTGATTGATGTCTGCCTGGAGTCTTGCAGTGTCTTCAGTGGAGGACACTGTCATGCAAATTTGGGTGTCTTCTACAATGGAAGACACAGTGCTGTGGCTTGCATCCCTGTCTATGTCAGATATGAGGATGAGGAACAAGATGGGAACGAGTACGTCTTCAGGGAGGCTGTTCAGGATCATTGGTTTCTGGAAATTATCCTTGTGGATGAATTGTTGCACTCTCTGTTGAATGGTCATTCTTTGGGTTCTTTGGGGAGGTGTGCTGATGATACAATTGGTGGTTTTTGCAAATTGGGGAGGATTGATTCTCTGTCTGGTATATAGAGTTCTTGAATTGCATATAGTTGTCTCATCTTTAGTTTATCAAGCCTTACATTTATTGCATCAATGTCCTGGCGGATGTGTAAATCTACCATCCTGATTCTCTCTCTCCTCCTGGTGCCTGTGATGAAGCAGAGTGCTCTATTCTGAACTCGTTGTAACTGTAGCATGTTTGTTTTAGTTGTTAATGACATGGGGACACATGGATATTCTAACATAGGTCTTGTCATCATCTTGTACAGGTGTTTGTTGATGTGGGAAGGGGCTTTATTAAACCTACATAGACTGCTGAGGGGGGCTTTGGCTAAATTTATTTTTTTTAGTGACATGAGATGTGGAGTGGAGCAATCTGTCTATCTCATATCCCAGAATCCTGTTGGGGTTTCTAATGGCTATAGGTGCACCTCTGATGGAGATACCCCTTTGTCTTCTATGGTTGTTGTAAAACATCCGATGGTGCTAATAAGGACTTTGTCTGGGTTGGTCGTGATTCTCCATTTCTTCTCTCGGTTTGCTGTTTTTATAGTTCTGTATTCCCTTTCTCTATTACCCTCTCATACTCGTATTTTCCTGTTATGGGGGTGGATGATACTACCTGAATACCATCATCTGCAAATTGGGTGATAATAATATCATTGAATTCGGTTTGAGGGAGATCGTTTACATATATGTTGAATAGTATCAGGCTAAGGCACAAGCCTTGTGGTACTCCATCTGTTGGTATGAAAGGCTCTGCTGACTTTCCATTAAAGGTAGGGATGATTATTCTTTTTGACAGGAGGTTGTATATAAATCTGAGAAAGGTCCATGTGTGGTCAAGTAGGTCAACCAGTTTAAATATGAGTCCATCATGCCACAAGCTGTCAAAAGCTTTGTGTACATCCCTGGTGGCAATTAGGGCAAGACTGCCCTGTTTTCTCAGGCTGTTAACAGCATCAAAGATGATATTTGTAACATGTTGAGTTCCTCTATGAGTCCTGAATCCGAACTGTTTTTCAGTGAAGAGGTGATTGTACTCCATGTAGCAGTTTAATCTGTTGGAAATTATTTAATCAAGGACTTTACCAGTGACTTCAGGTAATGAGATAGGCCTATAGTTCTCTGCTTTGTTTGTCTTTATTGGGTTTTACAGACTTTAGAGTCATTGGAAAGTGTCCTGAGGCCAAGATGGCATTAAAAATATTTACCAGAGACATTCTGCAATTTTTAGGTAAGTACTTTACTTGTTTCACTGTTATGCCTGAGAGGCCAGGGGCTTTATTACACATTCTGCCGATAATTTGACTCATCTCTCTGAGTGTGATTGGTCTTGTAAGGGGGTGTTCATCTTCAAGAGTTGATGTATTAATTAAATGTAGCGGGTGGAGGTCAGCTCAGTGGTCATCTTTCCATTCAGTGATCCACTGATAATGGTTATTATTAACCCTTTCAGGGTCCGTCCCGTAGATCTACGGCTTTACGTTCAGGGTCCAAACCGTAGATCTATGCCATGAGCTCAGCTCACTCTGATAAACTGTGAGTGGTACATTTGGGCCTAGATATGAGAGAATACATCTATGTGGTATGTGTGCACCACATAAAACAGATCCTGCAGCACACTGTGTATAATGAGAGAAAAAAAATGAAATCATGATTTTTCGATTAAAACAGCAACTTTGCAGTGTTTTTTCGTATGTTTTTTATAGATGTATTTGCGATTTCTTGGTCTCATTTGATAGAATGGAAGACATATTACAGAAATAGAGATGATTTTGATTGGTTTTAGCACTGGAAATGGCTTGAAACTGAGCTCAAATTAGCAGAAATGTTAAATTTTTGCCGATATTCAAGAGTAAACAAACGACCTCACACGTCTAATACACGTCAGCTGGTGGGTCTAATATACATTCACAAATATGGTGATGATATTTATACAATTATTACAGTATTGCATAACAGTAAATCTTCTATTTTTTGGTGTGAATAAAAATTCATTATGTGAATAAAAAATCAAAATGGAATTTATTTGTAAAGCCTCAAAACATAACTAATGAACAGAGGAAATGTTAGTTTAGTGCCAGGAATGCCTACATTGTTCATTCTGGACCCTATTTTGAAATTGGAATATTTTGAACTTTGTGTTAAATTGGCCAAATTAACAATTTCCGATCACTTTATTTTGTAGTTGAAACAGTTGACTTGGCGATTTCTTGTGCTCAATCGATAGAATAGAAGTAATACTAGTGAAATAGCTAAGAATTTGGTTGATTGGAATAATGTAATTGGCCTAAAATGGGAGTCAAAGTCGGCAAAATCGCCGATTCGTAAATATTGCTGACACATCAAAATTCGCGAGAGCATAATTTCGTCAATTTTCCACCAAATTTCGTACTTTTTGTTTTATTACCTTCACAAAAAGATTCTCTACGATTTCATAAGAAAAAATAACAAATTTTTTTTTTGAAAATTCTTGGACACTGGTGCGTGACGCCAGATTTGGGCCTTGGACCCTGAAAGGGTTAAATCTTCTACAGTGAAACTTCAGTTTTCGTTTGCCCTGGTTTTCGTCAAATTCGAATTTTGATGACTTTTTTCGTCAAAATTTTGTCCCAGTTCTCGTTCATCACCTTGGTTTTCATCAAGTTGACAGTGGTCCACCATACCAGACGTGTCCACCCGTGCCCACACAAAGCATCCCATGGTTTCTGAGTCTGTCTGGCTTTGTTTCTCATCGGTAGAGGGTGGTAGTGGTTGTGATGGTGGTAGAGGGTGGTAGTGGTTGTGATGGTGGTAGAGGGTGGTATTGGTTGTGATGGTGGTAGAGGGTGGTAGTGGTTGTGATGGTGGTAGAGGGTGGTAGTGATTGTGGTAGAGATAACCTCTCCTCCATCTCCCCTCCTCGCCATCTTCCATACGCCAACAAGAGGCTTCATTGAAGTTAAAAGTGATGTTAAATGTTCATTTATCCATTTCATTAGTCCTTTATATTTATTTCTCATTGTTTTCTGTATGTAAAACTAGTTATTCTCTATAAAATGTATTTTTTGTTAATACTTTTGGGTGTCTGAAACGGATTAATTGGATTTACATTATTTCTTATGGGAAATATTGCTTCAGTTTTTGTTGAATTCGGTTTTTGTCAGACTTTCTGGAATGAATTAATGACGAAAACCGAGGTTCCACTGTACTGTCATTGTGTGAGAGAATTTTCTCCCCCACATCACCTATCAGATTGGCTTGGTCTTATGAGTCATCAAGTTTTATATCAACTTCCTCATCATCGTCATCAGTGAAGGAATGCAATAGATAACTGATGGTCTTGTGCTTTGCTCCTAAAAGCTGGCAGATCTTGCTCCAGAACTTTTCAGGATGACATTTGTATTGATTAGCTTGAAGAACAAGATACTTCCATAATTCACTTTTGTGTTGTGTGATCATGGTAA